TGCTTTTTCTCAGTATTTTTTGGGCGGAAACTAAATTAAGGTCCTAATAGTAAGATAAGATGTGATGGTGATATCTGCCGTTGTATACTTGTATATTAAGTCAAACTGCACAAAAAAGTTTTCTATCTTTTAAATTAATAACTAAATATCTATATAGTCATTTTTCAAATGATCATATAGATATTTAGTTATTAATTTAAAAAAATTGGTACATTAACGCACAAATGTACATCAAACTTTTTTAATTAATAATTAAACATATACGTTATCATTTGGAAAATAGTAGAGGATTTTTTTTCAATTCTTTTCTTTCTTTATTCTTCCTTTTGTTTAATTCAGTTTTTTTGTTTAGTTTGATCTAAATATACAAGCATACAGCAGCAAACGTTGTCATCACAACTCATCTACTATATACTATCATATAGCGCGTAATCATTTACCAATCTTTTTTGATTAATAACTTAAAATTTTACGTAGTTGTCCGCAAAATGGTAGAGGGATTTTTTGTTCAATTTGACCTAATCTACCTGTACATCACAGTTTCTGTGTAAATTACAAGATACCCTGTATAGTTATTAATATATGTAATATTAGTAAGTAATTAAAGTATTATAATTTTTGGAAGCGTCCCGATTGCCTACAGTACGATTGCACACAAACCAATCGATGATAAAAATTATCTAGTGAATTACCAGATCGAACCAATCATTACAATTTGTGGTCAATCGTACTGTCGGCAATCGGGACCCTCCCATAATTTTTCCCATGTAATATTTTTTCTCTATTTTATATATAGAAATAAAAATAAAGAAATTACATAACCGGTTTTGCATATTACTCAGATAAATGTTTATGATTGTTAACAGTAATTATAAATAATTATTTTTATATTATTATTGTAAGATATTAATTAATTATTGTAAGATATTAATTTATAATTAATATTAATTATTATAATCATAAAAGTATGTCCAGGTAATATACAAAACCAATTATAATTAATAATTATTTAATTATTTCTATTTCTATATAATAGATGGGCACAAAAAAATATTATAGCAAAAATTAGAAGAACATTTTTTAACCTTGGACCATACAGAAATCATGAACAAAATTACTATAAATTTGTTTAAAAACGTTATGCACATAAAGCTTTTTATTGCAAAGGTGTTGTACTTGAATGTTCTGTATATCGTGTATTCGATAAATCGCTCAAATATTCTATTTCTATAATAATTTATAGTGCAATGTCAGTAGTCCAGCTTTATAAAAAATATAATAAAACGAAATATAAATTTCACATAACATTTACTACAATATTTTCTCTGTGTATGTCTACGACTTGCTTCGAAGAAAATGTCTCAATGTCCCAATACAGGATGTCCCAATATTAGACCGACCAGTTTCGAATGGTTATACCAGTATAAGCTAATTTTGTCAAAAAATCTATGTCCGCAAACAAGCCGTTTTATTACTAGAGAGAATATTCCCGGAAAACAGCTTGCACATATGAAAGCGACCATCACTGTTGCCAAATCCTTCTCTCCAAGTACGGGAATCTCGTGAACTATAGATTTTGGCTCTTTTGCACATATGCAAGCTGTTTTGGCAAAATTCCATTCGTGGATCCATGAACCGACGATGCGAAATAAATGGCCATCACTTCGAACAACTATTGTAAACATAACAACTATTATAAATATTCCACTGTAAAAATCACTCTAGTAATAAAACGGCTCGTTTGCGGACATAGATTTATTGAGAAAATTGATTTATTTTGGTGTCCTTTATAATCATCTGAAGTTTATCGATCTAATTTTGAGACATACTATATTTCTTCGATAGAGAATCCATACTTTCACATTATCGTTTATTTTGTACGTGCGACTCATACGGCATTAACATTTTCTTCATTATTTGTGCTATAACTAAGAATGTCTATTATGTTTCGACATGTATTCTATTACAAGTAGTCGCACGATAGAAATTGCATTTGCATATGTGAAGCTCATATTGCGTGTATCAACCATTCGTGGCGGGATGCGACGCAGTCTTCGACGATACGACTCGACCGACAACGGTTATACCTTTCACGGCCGCGCTTCCGCGAGAAACTACGTGAAGGTGCACCGAACGACCTTACCAGCCAAGATCAAGATCAGCCTTTCGCAGCTCAGAATTATAACGCTTCAATGCCGCCATCGGTGCCGTGTAATTAAACACGAGATATCCAAATGGCGAAAGGCCTTTCAACGAACGCCAATCTCATTGTTACGCCATCATTTCTTCCAAAAACTTCGCCATAATCTTCCAATTAACTTCCTTTCATTTTTGCCAGATCAGTATCGGGATCGCAACACTTCATTATCGTCGCTACTCGCGTGTTATTAACTAATCATTCACACGCGGAAATACGTAACTATTTTATTTTTTTAACATTTGAAAAAAGAGAGAGGCGGGGCACATAAAAAGATTTTCTACGAATACTACCAAAAGGATCTTATAATCCTACAATAATTTAAAATAATGTATTCCAGTAACAAATTTTCTGGAAATTACATTTAAATTTTCATTTTACATCTTATTGTCATTATGTTGAGCAAATTTTGATCATTGTTTTTGTTTTATTTTTTGTACTTCTATCTCGTCATTTTATATAATAAATATGAGTGTTTCATATGAACCACTAATGAAGGATGCAACCTTTATAAATTGACTTAAGTTGCTACTAAACTTATGTACAATCGATGTCGAAAACAAAAATTGTTCGGTTTTTTGGGACTTTCGGAATGCATCCGTTTTGTCTAATGGGAAAATGTTCTCATTGACCAACAAATTCTTTTATTGGACAAGACAGATGTGTTTTGAAAGTCACAAAAAAAATCAGACAACCTTTCCGACGCCAATTGTACATAAATTTGGCAGCAATTCAAGTTAATTTATATGTCAAAAACTGCCTAAAAAAATCTTCATTAATGGTTTATATGGCACTCATTTTTATTATATAAAATAACTAGATATTATATAAAATAACTAGACATTATATAAAATAACTAGATAGAAACACAAAAAATACGAAAAAAATAATCAAAATTTCCTCAATACAATGGCATGTATAATATAATATGAAAATATAAATGTAATTTTCAATAAATTTGTTACTACATCAATATAACAAAAATGTACGTTACTGTATATGATATAAATTTAATTATTAATTCAATATACGATATATTTACTTCATAAATATGGTTAAAAAGAAACTGTAAGATTTTCATTATCGATTATCTCTCACTCGTGATAATCATAAATATGTACACAGGTGAATATAAATTTAGCAGAAACTTTAGTTCATTTGTAAAAGTCGTATCCTTTATAAGTGGTTCATATTTATATTTACTATTTTTATATTTACCACATAAAAAATTTTATAAAATAAAAATACAAAAGAATTATTAAAAAGATTATCAGAATTTGCACAAAACAGTTATGTAAAAGTGTTATGTAAAATATAATATGAAAATTTATAAAATGAATAATATGAAAATTTGAGTGTAACTTTCAGTAAATTTGTTACTGCATCGATATAACAAAAAAATTATATTATTGTATGATGTAAATTTAATGATTAATTCAATATGTTTATCTCATAAATATAATTAAAAATTCGTAAAATTTCCATCATCTTATGATGGAAATCTTATGATTATCTTATTTTGTGATAATCACAAAAATCTCTCATAAGGAAGATCAGAGCTATCAGAATAAGTTAACAAAATCGATTATTTTTACTGTTCTTTAACAAATTTTAGAATCAAGCAAACAGAGAAGCCATCTTTGACAAGTTTAAAAATCTTATTTGTTTAATTCTGTAACTTGTTAGAAAATAACAGAAATAATCGATTTTGCTAACTTACCCCGGTAGCTAATTAGCCCCGGCCTCCCCTAATATATATTTCAACAAAATTATAAAAGATAATTTGTTACTTCTTGATATTTTGTGTATTTGTAAAATTATTTAGTGAGACTTGCTAACGTTATTTCGCTGACATTTGAAGATCATAAAAGACTTAATTGTGTCCTTAAACAATCATGACGTTACGTGCTTCGCAAAAATCGCGTCCAGCCGTTTGCCACCGCCTAATCGATGTCCTATTTTCTACTGAGCCCTTTCCCGATCCTTTCACTTTCCCTCAAGCATCGAGACTCCCTTCTTGTCGATTACAACTGTAAGCGGCATCTATGTAGCGTGCTCGAGATAGACGAGACGCGGTCGTATCTCGTTGCAGAGAACAGCTTTCTCAACTTTCAACCGTTCAACCGGTCATCGGTCTTCCAGTGAAAGTAACCGGAACGAGAGGATGCGATCTTTGGCGGTGACCGTGATCCCCCGTGGCGTTATTCTCGATTGTCGGACAACTCAGTCGAATCGCCTTCATAACTGTTCGACCGTGAAAATGTGCTTCCGTAGAAATGTTTATTGTCCTTGTACGCTTTACGTTAGAATCTTTACGGAAGCGTTTCAGCGACGTGAGAATTGCTATCGCAAAAGTTCATTGTCACCAAAATTGTCGTTTATAGCTGCTACATTGATTAATAAACGATAAACGATAATAAATATATAATAAATAATATATATAGTTTTCAGAAAATTACATATATATATATATATATATATATACAGTTAATGTTAAAGGGAGGACGAAATTGTAATGTTGAATTGACAATAATTTAAAAGCTATTTTCCCCTGATTTCTGTTATTAGGACAATCGTCTGATTAGTTATTCCTTGTTTATAAATCACTTGTTAAGTTACAGCCGAAAGGACAATATAGGTATCTTGGGAGAAATTAGGGAGAATTACTATTATTCTATGCACATGGGAACTTTATAAATCACATGTATTTATTTTTTAGACATTTCAAATATATCTCTCTTTAATACTCTCTTTTTAATAGTTAAATAATATGCGCGATATATATGATAACGAAATATCGGAATGAACATTCCTCGTCTTATACACACTAATAAAACAAAGCAAATGTACGCACGCGACAATAACTTAAGAAGAAAAATTATTTTGTTCATCAAGAATAATCGGAGTAACTGTAGAGCAAACGTTTAGCAGGTCGTTTAAATACCGTTGCATCGGGACGCTTTGTCCATGCAATTTAATAGTTTCCTATATTTTTCAATACTTTTAGAAAGATGCAACTTTCAAACTCACTCGTGTCATCTTTATAAGAATATAACAATCAGCTTGTCAGCCTCGAAGATACTCTTAATATTACTTATACACCTATGCAATCGATTTGAGAATAACATTACCGTGCCATCACACACGTGAATTTTAAATATTCGAAACACTGCAACGACGAGGTATTTCATGAACTTCACGTATACAAGAGCTGTCCGTTTGAAACTAACTAAATGACACCGACATGATATTCTATATATGAGCCGTGGCATTTTAGCATTGTTACTATTTAGTATTGAAAAATATTAATCGCAGTTGATGCTTCCATCTCAAAGATAACCGATCTCTTCTCATATCGACGATCACAAAACAGTCCATTACTCTACGAAAAATCGTAGTTTGAGAAAATAACATGCGAAATACTGCAAAACATTACAATATAAAACTAATAGGAGACATGTAGATTTCGAAAATAATTAGTGCTCGTGCATCACCGTGTCAACTTTCTTAAAAATAATACCATAAATAACCTAGACATATGAATAAAACTCAAACAAGCTGTTTTGAAACTAAAATTCACTCGGAATACGTATATCTCACGAGCGCGGAATTACGCTCCAACTCTGCTGAAAGCCATAGAGAAAGCATAAGATTCATCAAAATATTATAAAATTACATAATTATGTAAATTATAACTACTATATCACTCCTCGTGTCAAACAAACCGTCATAAAAATCCGATTTTATCATCTTCATCTAATAAAATTTTCTCGAAAGAGAGAGCGTTGCCGCGATAACGATCCGAGGACGTCAAGATGAGGAAACGAAGAGATCTTAGATGAGATTTAAATCAGAAGCACCCCAGCAAGATCATAAAATCACAAACACACTCAACGTATTATAAATGCGCTGCGATAGCCGTGTGTGCCGTCGACTGAAATCTTGCCGCGAGCTCGACGCTTCGAATTTCACTGTAGTTTAATTTTCGATGCCTCAGGCGCGCCGGAAGTCGTGGCCTTCATATTCAATTTCGCGGCGTATATCGACGTGGAATATAGGAAGCGCAAATACGTAACATCGTCAATCTAACAACGAAAAACCGAGCTTGCCAATATTACATCAATTTCAATCGAAGCTCAATCACGGCCTTTGTGTGCGCGATTATCCGTGATGTCGCACGATCCCAGCCGGTGCACCAACGTTCATAGTAAGTGGCGATAGTGAATTATACGGCTTGGTATGAATAGGCATCGTTCTGAAGTCATAGCTCATGGGTTCTACATGATCCTCTCGCACAGCATAGCCTTGTTTGGATTGGGCGAAGTTGGGTAGCCAACCGGTACCGGCGTAACCGGTACCGCCAACCGACAGACCAGCTGGTGGGAAATGATCGACAGAGTGTAATGGCTGATGAGCGCCGGGGTAACTGTTGGGCGTTGCACCATTGGATAACACACTTGGCCAAGTCTTAGTGAGCTCTTCCAGTTTTCTGTGATAGTCGTCCAAGGACACGGTGTCCCTCAGCACAATGCCATCTTTGTTACCCGCGATAGTAGCTGGCGGTATGCCAGCCGGCAGTATCACGGCACCTTGCATACCGGCGGCGGCGACGTCGGCGGAGTTGGCGACTGTGGCGGCCGCAGCGTGACTATACGTAGCTGGTGAGACGTCCTTGGGTAGCTCGTTACTCTTCGTCAAGGCCTCCCTGTCCCTTTCTACGGCGTTACTGAAGGCCTGGTGGTTCCTTAGACTGAGATCCTTCTCGATAGAACGAGCATTGTAGTACTTGTTCGTAGCATCCTTCAAGCTTTCGTGCAGCTCGCTCCTAGCTGCACCCTCCATATCGGAGAAGAATGAGTCGATGTGCGGGTTGTCGTAAGTATGCGTGTTCGCTGATGCCGCGTACTCCTGACCTACCGACGTGAAACCAGTCGGTGGGTAATCCGGAACGGCAGGTTGACGAGCGTAAGCACCGGCGTACCTGGTCGGAAAGAAAGGAAGTTGTTCAAGTCGCGCTAGAAAAAATTAGTTACTCGTAGAAACCTTAGAACGTGCATACTAGAAGTGCTATGACCAAATTGAGCAATATCACAGTAATATTACGATTGAGCAGTATTACGTCTAGAACTTGAACGATGATAAATATCTGTAGAAGAACTGAATATATAAGGTAAAACATCTAATTTATATTCTTTTAATAATTGATACTCTAGAAGTGATATCTATAGTTGAATTTTATATTTAAGATAATTTTAATTTTATCTTCAGATATTTCGTAGCCAATAATCCATATAACAAATTATATATAAGAAAAAAAAATCTAACTACATAAACACCGCTCTAGAAAAAACTGAATTTTTTGTGACCAGCATTGCAGTTAAACTCCTTGCCTCTATGATTTCGAAAGAGAAGTTCAGAACTAAATCTGTAAACAACCAGCATTGGTCGCAGAAAAAATCAGGTTTTTCTAACTGTTAATAACTATTGGAAATAATTGAGTGCTTTACTTTACATGCTATACAGGATAGAGGTGTATGCTGTACCCATACAGCATACACCTCTACATCTGTAAAAAATAAATAAGCGGAAATAAGAAAAGAGTATACAAGATGTCTCACCTAACTTAACCATCTTAAATATCTCACTTATGTTTTATGATAGAAGGATGCCAAAAAGGAACATTATTCAGAGGAGACAAATACTGTAAAAAACAAAAAATTTTTCTCGAGGTCATTTTCTCAAGGTTTTTTAGGATTTCAAGGTCATTATCATTTTTTTATATGAGACTACATATTTTTATTTCGCGATATGATAGAAGAAAAAGATAGGAGAAGAAGAAAAATTTCTAGTTTTTAACAGTATTTGTCTCCTCGAACTGAATAATGTCCTTCTTTGGCATCCTTCTATCATAAAACATAAGCGAGATATTTAAGATGGTCAAGTTAGATGGGACATCCTGTATACTATTTTCTTATTTCCGCTTATTTATTTTTTACAAATGTAGAGGTGTATGCTGTATGAGTAACTTTAAGCAAACTACCCAGATAGCCACCTGTCTATGAAGTTGCCGTCAAGTTACTGAGAACCG